TCAGATAGTAACTTTGCTCTCAGTAGTGTATGTCCAATTAAAATATGGACTGGTTTTGCCCATGTTCTTTGCTGGCTACTGTAATTACACTGACATACAATATCTTAATTAGATTAAAGTAATTGACCCAAATTGAATGATTTTTAAATAAGTAATGCTTGGGGGAGGAGGTCCTAAATATATGCATATAAGACTTTTTCTACAAATAGAATTATTAGTGTGGTAATGGCAACCAAAGCATTGTGGCCAGAATGCAAAAAAGAATAGACCTATTTAAACCCAGTGATTTCAGTGAATTTAAATATACCTGAGCATATTGAATTTGAAGCTGTGTCTAAATGCGGTGATTTAAAATTAATTTTTTTCAGTAATGATGCCTTAAAATACATCTTCAAACTTCAATCTTATTTACAATAACCTAAAAGTAAATCCCATTTAACTGAATGGGTTTACACAAGTCTAGCATGAGTCTTCAAAGGAGAATACTTTGTCATCTTTGTAATTCATATCAAGAAGTAAAATAAATACTGGTTTCACTGTATTGATTTTTTGTTGTAGACCAACATTTCTTAGATTCCTAGCATTATTAAATAAAATGCTGCAATCTGCAGGGATTTGTTGTTGTATTTTAGCTTAAAGGCTTTATGAACCTTGGTGATACACCAATTTTTAATGGACAAATAACATATTATCCAGTATAAAGTGCAATATGTTTGGCTTTTACAATTGAATTTTCTCACAGATACGAAGGTTTTGTTTTTGTTTTGTTTTTGTTTTGCTTTTAAAGTTCTGGCTCCGTTGCTTATGGAACAGTTTGAAGGAATGACCTAGATGATGTAATCTATATTTCTTAAGTTTATAAATCTAATACGCTATTGTTAGTGTTTGGTAAGATTTCAGAATCAGATGCTATTACCCTGAAGTATGATGTTACTAGTACAGTTGTTTTATACAGTCCATTTATAAAGCACATCTATCCTTTCCTTTCTGTTCTCGTATTTATAGAAAACTGGAATGAGCCCATCATTATGGCTGGGAGAATGAGGTGAGAACAAAGGGCTGCAACATTACAAGGACCCCTTGGAACTGTGATGTGTGTGGGTTATGGGTTCACATTGTTTCAATTAAGGGGTATTTTTAGCAGACCATTGTTCTCTCAAGTGTTAAGGGTGACGTGTACCTCCATGGTGCAGTATACATGTAATAGCATGAATACTAACACTTCTGTTGGATCTAAACTGGTCTCCCAGTTTTGACAGTGTGCCTTCTTAATTTTGCCTCCTATACATAATCTCTATTTTATCTATTTAATGTACTCTTTTAAAGGTATGGTAATCCTTGTCTCAGAACTGTTTAATGCTGCATAGCTAGGGTATGACACAAGGAAATTGAAACGAAATGTACAGATGCTGTGTTTCCATGAGAGCATGCACAACATGTTATGTTGGTGGAGAGGTCAGAACAATTATAGTATATGCCTATTAGAGCACTTTAAATATTTGTAGAATTGCACTGGACCTATTCACTTTCTGCTTATGGTTCATTGGATACAGCCCAGAGTTTCTTGCAAAGAAAGAATTATCTAGATTAAGTAGTATGAAGCTATGACTAAATGAAGATGGATCTGGGATTTAAGCTGGGCTGGGTGAAATAAATGCAAAACTATTTATTCTGCATCTGTGTTCCTATCCCTTGGTGGCTTTCCTGTAGCTTCATAGGAAAGTGAACATGTTGCATTGCTGTCTGGGAAAACTGAGCAGGTGTCCAATGTAGGCAGGTGGATCCTTGAACTGTGTCTCACTCACAAGTTGACTCCAGTGAAGTTCCATTAACAGGTGGCTTGCTGATTGGCGTGCCATGTGACATTTATCGAGGGAACTACTTGGATGGCAGGCTGTTTCACACAGAGGCAGAGGGTCTTTGCTTTTGATGAGGAAATTGCTGAAACTCATGTCTCATTAGTGTTTCCTAAGGTTCTTTGGAAGCAAACAACAGTTTAATTAAAGTCTGACGTAAACACATTTCTGCACATTTTCCCCGCAGCATTTTATCACATTAGAATTGATCAAAATAGTTGCCTTGGGCTGTCTTGAACAGATATACATCTGGTGCACCATTTGTGCAAGCTGCCATGGAGCAGGCTACATACGCTGTGCTTCAGAGCAACTCTCTTTCTCGCCTTCCTTTGTAGATGGAATTACCTCGTTGGGAAATGAGTTGATCTAACTTTTTCCAGTTTGCTTACACCTTTATTTCTTTGGTGTGCTCATGATTTAAAATTAATAACATACTGCAGGTCAAAAATTTATATTTTATAGTATTATGAAAGAATAACTTCAAACTTTTAACCTAGCAAATCATCTTCTCAATTTTTGCTTACAATTTTATTCAGGAATATGTTTGGATATGATCTGTTTTCTACTGCTATACTACAATACATAAAACAGTTTGGTTTTAGCTGCAGATTTTGGCACTTAAAATTCTTTATATGAACATTAAATGTGTATTCAAAAACACTAACACATAAATAGGTCTCATTCATAAAGAATTCAGTTTTTATTCTTTGGTCTTGAAAAAAAAATTGCATTGTCTTTCAGTTTCTTATTACCCTGTTAATACATCACAGTCATTTCTGAAAAGAGTTAGATGACTGAATTCTGCATTAACTGACCACTGAATATGACAAATTTTAAAATGTGGGCAATGCCTAGATTGCTGGTAATCATGCTTTATAGAACATCAGTACATTTTGTTTCTAAGAATATATGAAGTACAGAAGGATCACACTTCAGTGTTGTTTTTAATGAAACCATACAAACTCCTTAAACTTAGTACCACACCTTTATTTATCTTATTCTGTCTATCATCTTGGTTTAAGCAACAAGCAGTCCTTTCAGTAACTTATACAAACAGTTTTTGTTTTGTTTTGCTGTACACTGTGTCTGTTATTCCACTGTCAATGGAACATAAATACTCCATTATGCCATTATGATGTCAGTGCATACTCGGAACACCAGAAAAATCATTTGAATTGCTTCACAATAATAAGGACATTGGAAGCTTTGGTGATTATTTCAACCATTTGATCTTTGTTGCTTTAAGTTCTTCATATGTTGTTGATCCTGTAAGTTCCTTACTTCATTGTGTTGTATTGGAAGCATTAAATTTCTTTCTTAAAATGCATAACTCCTGTATACATGTTTGAGTGTTGTATGATGGGCTGTGTTAGTTAGGAAAAATGAGCTTATGGTCATGGCTGCCATTAGTATGTCCATTTACATAGTTCTAAATATACATGGTAGTTGTATTTTGTTTTATTAACTGCATAACTTTGGCAGGAAACCTGGAGCTGCTTGCTCTGTACAGTTTTAAAGGAGCACCACTTTAACAATAACAGCTATTGCTGTTCTGCAAGTAAATTCTGTATTAGGGAACCATCAAGGTAGGGGCTAAATAAGAAACCAGAATATATTGTGCTTCATAAAGCATTATTTCAAGCAGCTAAAATATTTCTGTGTTTTTGTGTGGTTTAATGAGGTGACAGGCACAACTAAAATCTATCTTGTAAACCAAAAATATGCAGGCTTATTAAAAATAATAAGGATGAATTAAAAGTTGTAGCAGAAGCAATTCAATTTTACATGACTTATTTTGTTGAATGTAGTGTTGCATAAGATCCCTCTTGTCTACTAGTCAATAAAGTAAAACTTATATACCACATAAATTTGATATAATTACTATTTTCATCTGCAAGATAACCTAGTTAAATACTGTCTCTTAGCATCCTGCTGACCCCTTTGTCCAATCAATAAGGGATCCAGATCATCTGCAGCATGGGTTATGTGTGTTTCCTTCCTTCCTAACTTAGAAGAGAGATAATTGATACTGGTTGGAGATTTGCTGCTGTGAGAGTAAGCCCTGTCTCAGTCCCCCATGCAGTTTGGGATTCACTGTCCTACATTGGCCCTTCCTTCCATCTTTGACATCACCTCTTATGTATCTATAATATGATTATAGAATATCTTTTCACTCCTTTCTGTCAGTTATTGCCAGTTCATATGATCAAACAGCCCACTATATCATATTTAAGCCACTCTGGGTTGAGGTGTGTGCCAGTGGCTTTTCTGAAGCTAAGGTGTGACTGTGGCTCGTCATATTACCCAAATGCTAGGAACGTGTAGTATTCTGCCAGGGTTAAAGAACCCTCATACAGCCTTAAAACAGGCCATGGATACTACAACAATTGTTCAGCCCTTCCATAACCCACAGTCCCTTGGTTTGGATGACGTGACAGACTGTAGCTGGAAAATTTAGGCTAGTGCTGCAGGAACTGCACCTCATCTTCATTTTATTAAGCCGCAAGAAGCAATGGCAGACATGTGAATTATGCAAACCTGTTCTCAAATCCATTTAAAGGGAACTAAAACAGATTTTCATGGAGATGTAAGGGTGAATTTTACATGTCAGCACTTTGAGCTTATAGATACTGCACAATGATACTATGCAAGATTTCAGAGTTCCAACAGCTTTGAGGGAAGGAGGACTATTATGTGTGTATTTGTGAAAACCTTTGTTAAACACATTTGCTCTTAATGGTAGATCTTACCAATAGTGGAACTGAAAAAGAAAACAGGTAAACTTCTGAGTACCTTAGTCAGGTAACAACAGCGTGCACACTAACACTGTAACATCTCATTTTTCACAGGGTTTGTTTGGAAATACCTTCCCAGAAAAAAAAAATAACTGTATAGATAAAGAACTAGTTTGGGTGAAGTTTGTATTTTTTCATGGGGTACATTAGAAAACAGTGATACCCAGCAGCAAAGCTGTGATGAGAGAGGCCCTTGGTATGAAACAAAACAAGTGGTCCATTAAAATTAATTTGTGCCCAGTTTATTATCTTGAAATGACTGCTGAAGGAACATAAGGCAGTAACCTATGATATATATAATGTGTGGTCTCCCAGCTAACAGATCTATTATGTTGTATTGCCATTGCAGATATGTCTTCCCCTACAATGAAGAAACCTGAAAAGCCTTTGTTTAGCACTACATCTCCCCAGGATTCTTCACCAAGACTGACCACTTTTCAGCATCATCATCCAGGGATCCCAGGAGTTGCACACAGTGGTGAGGAAGCAAAACTGATGAAAAACTTCTCAATATGTAGCTATTCTTTTCCTAATTACTGCAGTGCAGGAACATTTGCTTCAGTCAGTCTTGATCAATATAAAGCTCAATTTAGCTCTTAGCAACAAGAACATGAGAATTTCTCTTTGCTTCAGCTAGAATAAATCCCTTGAATCCAGCAAAAACAATTTACATTCTTTTTGGCATTATATCTACATTATGTTTCCCACAAAAGTTTATTCACAGCCATGAGATATGTAACAGTTGCATGGGACTGCGAATAATCTCAAAATGAATGCATGTCAGCATCCCATCTTCCCCATCTCTCCACACACACACACAATCAGTTGAGTATTATTCTGTCCATATTAATGTAGACTTGAAATAAGACAAGTTTATGTGTGGGACATGGCTAAACCGATGTGCCAAATAAATATATTCACAGTAAAATAATTTGTAAGATAATATTTTCATTATGAATTACAATGGATTGTGGATGTTGATAACTTCCTGAATTCTGTAATTGAACCACAGAGTACATTCTATAAGCACAATACAGGAATCAAACATCACAATCCTTGTCCAGATAGAAATGTAGCTTGTCTACTAGCCAAAGCTGATAGAAGACACTCCATGTGAAATCCTCAGTGACAGAGATGACTCCAGGAGAACCCCCAAACTATGAACCTGCAGATCCATCCACAGTAGGTTGAACATAATCTAACCATTCAGAGGAACCACCCACTAGCAACATTCCAGTCTTGTCTCAACCTTCAGTTTATTAGCCCTCATCTAGCCCTATGTCACAGCTAAGTACTGTTTTAGCACATCCACAGTCATAGGAAAAGCCATGCAGATCAAAGGTCCATCTAGTCCAGCATTCTGTACACATGGTGACAAAGCAACTGCCAACAGCATCACTCAAGCAGGATGAGAGCAAGAGGTAGCACATAGCCAGCAAGGCTACTGGTAGCCTACTCCCTCATGAATCTGTCCAATCCCTTTTTAAAGCCATCCAGATTAGGAGCCATCACTACTTCCCATGGGTGCGAATTCCATAGTTTAACTATACATTGTGTGAAGAAGTACTTTATCAGTCCTAAACCTACCACCACCAGAATCTCCCATTCACCGGATAAATATGAAAAGGAGAAATAGAATTCTATGTCATCAGCATGTCGATGGTCACAGTCTAGTCCATTAGTGGTTTCATGCAGATGTTGTATAATGTGACAGCCAAAAACATCCCTTGAGAAACCCCATGCTGAAGAATCCACAGGATTGAGCAATATTCTGCAAAGGACATCCTTTTAGAACCAGCCATCCAAGTAGTAATTAAACCACCTCAATGCAGTATTCCTCACTTCTAGTCATATAGTCATCTCAGAAGTATACCTTAGCTGATGGCTATCAAAAGCTACAGAGGGATCCAGGAGTATCAACATTGTCACATGCCCTGTGTTATGTTTTGAAAGGAGGCATTGATCATCAACCATTCGCTTGCTAGTGTTTTTAATCTGGTGCAGAAGCAGTTGTATGAATCTGTCCAAACACCTCTTCAGATTCTTTACTTTCATCAAGTAAAGCTCATCTTTAAAAGCTGCATAAAGCTGTACTCCAGCTTGGGACTAATAAAGTGGACACTTTAAGATGATGGTGTTTTATCAGTTTCAGTAATCCTGAAAAATTATTCCCAAGTCTGATGGCAATATGTCTGTACTTCTGTGTAGAAGATAACCTAGAATAAAGCTGAAGCCATAATGGGGTGGATGGATATTGCCCTTTCTTCTTTTAATGGACTTTTCACCTAGAAACCCTTGGGATTTAAATATCTAGCATTAAACATGTGGAAAATAGTAAAGTTCAACATATATACACTGTATTGATCAGAATTGAGAAAGATTTGGCTCATTGGTCTGATGTACTGTTATTTTCTAGAGCTGCATGACTACCTAAAAGGACAAAAAGGGAATCTAGTGCTGCAATTAGGAGAAGAAAGCTATGAACCTGCAGTTCTAAGGGATTTATCAGTGCCAAAATAAACTATTTACTTCAGGAAAATAGGGTGGAAGGGGAAGAGATCTCAATTTCAGTAGTCACAAAGAAAGGATCTTTTAACTTCCTTAATCTTCAGTGATAAGATATGGCCTTCTTAGTAGCTGAGGCATGTTTTGGGGAGCAGTTAGATGGTCGGCAGGCTGCATATGGGCCTTGCTTAATAGTCGGTCACTAGAACCCTTGCACAGATGGTCTACATGAGTACTGAAATATCTTGAACATGGTGTAGCCAAAGTGATGGCTGCAAGAGGGCCAGCCAAATTATATTTGATTCATGAGGTTATGGTAAGTTTACACTGTGGACAACATGTAATGTGTTTGCATGTTAAATTTGTGACAGACCCATTTATATTCCTGAGCTGAGCGCAAAAGAGAATTCTTGAACATTGTCAGCATCTTTCTCTCCCCATTCTGATAGTTTTTATTTAGTATAATTTTTATTACATTTTCAACTGAGGGGGTATATGATTGAATATATGAAAGAGGATCAGAAGAGGGGAGATAAACAGGTGGAATTTTTGTTTCTGTGTCAGCTAAAAATAAATCAACAAAATGCTAAAACTACAAAAGAACTGATCAACTCCACATAACAATAGTGTGGTATACAGCTTGTATACAGCTTTTGCTTCAAGCGTGTGTTAGTTCCTGTTTAAAATGTTGCTTTTTTCTCACCAAAATACTGTCCATTATATAAGTGTAATATGATTATTTGGTATTTTAATAAAATAATGTCCATGCCTGATGGAACAGTTCCACAGCAACAGAACATTCTGTACATTCCTTTCATTGCTAAAGACATTACACTGTTTCTAGACATTATGTACAATCTCTTGATACAGAAATGCTTGGGGAAGCAGGAAAATGCAAGAAAAATATGTACAGCATATGATACCCTTTTTGTTCACTAGAGATATTGCCATTGGGTAAGATATTTTCCCAGGCCCTGAAGTTGAACATTCATTAGCATTCTCACAATGGGTAGCTAATTATTCATGGTGTTATTGCTTAGTAATTATTCCCTGCCCCCTCCCACACATTAGCCAGGGTATAGGCATAAAGTATCATGGAATCATTTGCTGACTCTTTGGGCTCTGTCTTTGTTCTTTTTCCTACACCCTCAAGAGAAAATCAGTCTAGACTTTTACATGGATTGACTTCATCTAAGTTTTAGGTCATACTTGATAACTGAAATATGTTTTCTGCAGGGCAATAAAGTCTGTATGTTAGGAAAGGTTTAAATCAAGTATACATATTAAAATAAATACATGCATTATGTCCTTAGAGACTTTGTCCCATGGGAATTTGTGGTAATGAGAGACTAGTGATAAAACCTAGGATGTGGACATGGAAATTAATCATTTTCAATTTATATTTCTGTGTTAATATTTTGTTTACTTTCTGTGTTAATGTGCACAGAATTTTCTTAAAATGAAAGAGCCTAAATAATGTATGTTTATTCTTATCTCTTCTAGTCATCTCAACTAGAACTCCACCTCCACCTTCACCATTGCCATTTCCACCACAAGCAATTCTCCCTCCTGCCCCATCTAGCTACTTCTCTCACCCAACAATCCGATATCCTCCTCACCTGAATCCTCAGGATACTCTGAAGAATTATTCTTATGACCCGTCCAGTCCACAAACCAGCCAGGTACTGTAATACCAAATACTCTGTGAGTAATTTTAGGAGCATTATGTCTATGAAAGTTTTCAGATCTGATAGTTGCTCCTGTTCTGCATGTTAGATCTTGCAGTATAATCAGTTGAACATGTTTAATTAATTGTGACTGAATAAAACGGGATAGCCATGTGTGGTTGTCTTGCAGCCACTCTTTTTTGTGGATCAGAAATCTAGTATAACTGAATAATGAACAGAAAAATGCAGATTCCTTTTTGTGCTCACAGTACAGGGAGTTCCAAACTCAAAAGGATACTGTAGGCCAGTGGAATTAATATTGCGGGTTTTTCTTGCGGACTGGCTTACATTTGTCAGTTTATGACTTCTGTAGCTGATAATGGCAACTGATGTTTTGTCTGTTGAAACCTGTGGCTGGTATATCTTTCTTACTTCCCCTTAAAGTAACAACTATTTAAAGAAGTTATTGTAGGTGAAGCACAAAGAGGGAGAACGAAGGGTTGTGCTAATTTAAAATGCACAAAAAGCACATAGGGCTATTTGTAAATCAGCTATTCCAGAAATGATTATGTATTTGTATTGCTTTGTACTGTTTTGCATGTATTTGGTAAATCTTTGAACAAGTTGAAAGTGTGATATTAAGGTTCATTGCTAGACACCTAACAATTAAATTTTGGGGATTGTCAAGAACAGTTGTGTGTAAAAGTGTTGCAGCTCAGAGGTGTTTCCAAAGTGGTGATTAATACATTTGCTTTTGTAGCAGGGAAGTGATTTGTAAAGGGCTTGTGTACACAGCAGCAGTATGTTTAATACAATGACTTGTATAATATTTGCAGTATGTGTTTAGTATAATCTTCATTGCGATGTTTGGTTTCTGGTTTTGGTGTCTTCTCCTTAGATTTCCTGTCAAGATCCATAATCCAGGTTTGTTGTATTTTCTGTGCCACCCAGACAGGTTTTCTCTGATACTGATTACACAGCACAATGAAACATACTTGATTGCTTTTCACCTTTCAGATAGGTCCTTTATTTTCTCTGTAAACATTTGATCAATATGATGAACATGAGATAAGCATAGCCTGAAAAAGGAACAGAAAACAATTGAACAATTCAGTTAGGGTGCAAAGATTAAGAATTATAAAAGGTCAAGCTGAAATTACTTAATAGGTTGGCAAAATCTTAAAAGGATATGGAGGGAATTGTGGATGAGATATATGATCAGTATACTACAAAAATGAACATCATGTTTCATAAAATATTTCAAGTTTTACATGGCCTTTAACAAATATACGGTAGATAAACTGGTCTATTAATAAATGATTCCAAAGGCTCCAACCAAGGCAGGTCTTGGTGAAGTTTTGCTTGGTCATATTGTTCCGAAATGCCTGTGCAGAGGACATGACCACCACATGTGTGCAAGTATACCAATTCTGTGACATCCCCTTCAATACTTGTTTGAAAGTGTAATGAAGATCTTCTGTACCTTGACAGGAATTGTTACTAAGGAAGTACTTTGAAAGGTAGTTCCCTTACATGCATTACCTTCACTTGAGTCAGAAATAACTTATTTGTCCCATAGGGAATTGTCTACTGGTAGCCCAAAATCCGCATCTATAACATCCTTTTAATGCTTCAAATGACCCACATAATTATTCAATCAGTAGTTTGTATAGCTTGGATATCATGCTCTTTAGCTCTAGAAATCTGGAATTTAGAAAACAATTAAAATGAATCAGTGGATAAGTTACCTCTGGCAACACAGGGGGATGATGTACCAGATTGCATATTTGCATATTCTGGAACCAATTAAGAGTTGTATCTTTTTTTAATTTTGTATCTGCCGTAAATATACAATGTTATGAATAACATTCTAAAAGCAACTTGATCCATTTTCCAAGTTTTAGAAGCTATATTAATGTGATTATCTTTAAAAGCTTGATGTAATATAAATGCCATTAAAGGGTATGCTGTAGGGGCAATACTGCAAAAGTTGCACTTGTAATGTCTGATCTCATGTAGACATTTTTATGAAGATAGAATTACCATGATCTCATTAATAAGAAAATCTTGCACGTTTGTATAGTCCATTCATTTCATTGAAAATCTCCTTGATGATATAAATGTATTAATTTGTGTAACTGAAATGCATCATAATAGCATTTTAAATTTGGAACCCTAATTCCCCCTTTATTTATATAAATCATTTTATAACATCTGCTGTTTCTCCATATACAAGTATTAATTACTTTTTGCCATTTTAAAAGATACTGTATGGAATATAATTGGGGATGGTCTGCAAGACGAAGTTAAGATTTCTGATTTTTCATAGTTAATGTTAAAATTTGAAGCTTTATAGTACCTGCTTATTTCTCTTTTGAATTCCTTGAATTGATATTTCAGGATTGCTAGTGTCAGCTGCCACATCATCTATAAACATATAAATTTTATGTTTTTCTTTATTTATACTGAGCTAGCAATTTTGCTATTCTGTATTGAATTTGCCAGATTTTCAATGAACAGGAATTTTAAAACTTTCATAACATCAGTTTATAGTCTATTTTTTTATTTTTGTAGTTCCCAAACTTCTGTTCAAGTAAAGTTAATACAATAGCATCAATAAAATTGTAGTTATAAGATAGATAAAATATTAAAATGTATGAACAGTAGAAATGCATTTTTTTAAAGTACAACATGATATGGCAGTAGTCATTAAGTGTTATTCCTGCTTTTTTGAATGGTATAGTTCCATGGAGGTTCCCCTGAGAAGGGAGTTCCATAAAAGCCACAGACCCAGTTCACACATCATGGCAAAAAGACCTGGATAATGGTGAACAAGCCAGCCTGCGAGCTCACACAGCTTTTTTGCTCCTTCCAGATGCCACTTGGCAGTGATGTTTTCAATCTTCTTGGTTTAGATGCTTCTCAGGAATGTATCCCATTATAGGGCTTTATAGGTAAAGGTAAAGGTTTCCCCTTGCTGTTAAGTCCAGTCATGCCTGACTCTAGGGGGTGGTGCTCATCTTGGTTTCCTAGCCGAGGGAGCCAGCGTTTGTCCGCAGACAGTCTCCATGGTCATGTGGCTGGCATGACTGAACACCAGGGTGCACGGAACGCTGTTACCTGCCCACCGAAGTGGTACCTTTTCATCTACTTGCATTTGCATGCTTTTGAACTGCAAGGTTGGCAGGAGCTGGGACGGAACAACAGGAACTCAGCCCGTTGTGCAGATTCGAACTGGCGACCTTTCGATCTACCAGCCCAACAGCACAGTGGATTAAACCACTGCTCCACCTGCAGTCCCTATAGGACTTTATAACTATGACCTAATTCTTAGAAAAAATATGGGGAAAAGATTACCTCAAATATCTTGGGCCCACGCTGTTTAGTATGTAGTCTGATAATGTAGCCCCTAACCATCCAAAATCAGCATTGCAGGAATCCTATGCAGCATGGGAGGAACACGGATGTAAAGCTTGCCTCCATATTCCTCCTGCCTTACAAGTCACCTAAATGAGTTTGCTTGCCTAACTGCAATGCTTGCAAACTGGCAGAAAGGAGGTTGAAGCACCATCAGGATATGTCATAACTTGTGCCATCAGTCACCTCCCTTCCCTGCCCTCCACAGAATACCCAAAACCAATTTTCAAGTGGCTTTGGAGATGCAGCTGACATGCTTATTTCCATGCTGGCTTATTTCCCTCCAGGCAGTGGAGGGTGCTCTGCCAGCACATCCCCAGATCCAAGGTCAGAGTTGTTTTCTGACCTTGGAGCTAGAAATGAAAAGAAGTGTGGCCTTCTAGATGCCTCTAGTTTCTTCTTTGACCACAGCAAAAGCACAGTGACCACTCCTCTGGGGTGGCCCATCCCTTCACAGTTTCTCCCGCTCATAAACCATCCCATATGACCCTGACCTGCTCTCTTCCTGCAAGAGAGTGGAATGGGATGGTGGCCTCAGAAGAGCTCACCACAATCATACCTGTGGCATCATTAGGATCTGGACTGTGGGGAGACAGAGGGGTTCTGAGTGGCAGTAGGGCTGCAGAACAAGGCCCCAAGGGCTGCATGCAGTCTGTGTGCCATGTGGTGGACCACCCTGTTCTAGACCACCAAAAGATTTCAAGAACAGTTCAGCACCATTTTATAGTCCAGCTGAGAAGTTACAGTCTAAAAGTTGCCAATACCTACAAGCAAGATCCCTGACCGATTTGGGATGTTCCAGTCTAACCTAGTGAAGTGTATACATCTAGGAGTGAGGCTTCATCCAGAAGCATTCTTACAGGTTGCTAGAACTGGCTTTCAATAGGAGTCTGACCCCTTTCAGGACACTCAGATTCACCACTTCTTGAGCCTCTAACAGGAAGCAAAACTATCTTAGATTGAATTTAACTGTATTCATCCTTATGTAATTCATCCAATTCAGACAGATACTCAGGAACTTAAATCACAGCTGGGAAAATTTGTTAGAGAAATGAGTATGATCCACATGTTGGTTATTTAATGGAAATATTAAACAGCTTGTAGGAATTGTGCAGTACTGTTACCAGGACTAATCTCTTGGCACCACATTTTGGAATCTAAATATGATGTAGCAAAAGAATCACCTATTTACTGTTCTGCTAGTAAATAACTTTCATGTCAGATAGTACATATGCTTGATGACATTAAATGTACTTACTCCCTTCTGAACATATCCTGAAGCCATAGAAAGTATTGAACTTTACTGATGGAACATCTTGGTTCTACCAGACTGATCCTAGGTATGAAATCAGCCCCTTGGAGATCATTCAGGCTATTTCTCAAATGAGTGTGCATTGCATGACCTAAATAGGATGGAGGGATGGCTCATTAGAATATTAATACAAATATAATTACTGCATGATACTCATTTCAAATTGCTGTCAGGGCTTGTGTTCTTAATGCATTTTATCTCAAATAGTTGCTGTTTTTATTATTTTGTTTGTGTTAGTGTTTTCCTTATTTTTGTTTTTGTTTTGCTAAACTCATCTGACACATAG